GGAGGCTGAGATTGAGATGGGGCAGAAGGGACAAGTATGGGCAACTTCCTACTCTATAGTAAAAAGACATGGGAGCTGGAGCCATGGATCAATGGTTAAAAACACTTCAGATGACGTGGGTTCGGTTCCCCACATGGCAGCTCAGAGCTGTCTTTAACTCCAGTGAGCATCAGGCATGAACGTGGCATACATGCATATATATAAACAAATCTTAAAAGAAGAGGAGTGTACATCTGACGGTGGGGGGGGGGAATGAGTTCATGAGACCCAAGATAAATGATAAATGTGTGTTTTATTGGAGAACAACTTACACAGATAATAAAGAACCGCTGTGGTCTTTCTCTGCTTCCCTCTCTCTGGTTTGTCTGCACCTGAAGTCACGCCCAAAGGGGTGTGGCTACTAACACAAATAACACCGGCAAGGACAGATACCGCTGCCTACATCCAAGTGTGGTGACTCACACCTGCAACTACAGTACAAGGAGGCTGAGGCAGGAAGCCTAAATTCAAGGTCAGTGTGGGCTAAATGGGTAAAATAGTTCCTGGCCAGCTTGGGCTACAGAGATATTTCACAGTTTATCCCTGAAATATAAGGGCTCTTTTAAAAAGATAATAATGGACCAGTGAGCTGGATTAGCAGGAAAAGATGCTTGCCATTCCAGTTCAAGCCAGAGGACCCGAGTTTGATCTCAGGAATCCATGTGAAGGTAGAAGGAAAGAGCCAACTTCAGAAAAAGTGTCCTCTGACACGCATCGCTACGCATGTGCCATGATGCCTGCGGCAGCGCTCGAGGATGGAGTGTAATAGTCGGGGGGGGGGGGGGGGGGGGGGGGGGGGGGGGAGGGGAGTGCTCAGTGCTCGAGGCTCTACCAGCCTGCCTGCCTCAGTCTCTCTAACCACTAGTACTAGATACATCAGGCGACTCCTGTCTCAAAATAACTTACTATACTCTGGTGACTTTAAAACAGTCACAGCACAGAAAACTCTCCATGGCTCTATGGAAATTGCTCAAATCTAAAAGTGTCTTGGAAAATTTCAGGACCTCTGCAGAATGTCAGCGCTGCCTGCTTCTGCCGGCTGCTACTCAGTCTCTCTGGAAGATAGCTCTTCCTGTCCCTACCTCGTCCGTTCCTTCCTTCATAAGGTCTGTCCTGGGCTAGGGATCTGTGACCTGCCTGTGCCTCAGTGGAACCTAAATGAAGCCAAATACACTCCCCACAGTGACACATGCTGTGACAATACTGATTCTGAGGAGGGGTGAGGGGTCAGTTAGGCAACCCAGATGTCCTTGTAGAAGGATGTGACATTTAAGGACAGTGTGGAGGGGCCCACCAGACTTTTGAGTAAAGTAATGAGGCCAAGGACAGATGTCTAACAGCTAAGGAATTTTGTTAGAGCAAAGAAGCCAATGCTGTTGCAGAAAGGAGTGGGGTTGGGTGGGGTGGAAGAGCAAGTGGGGGAGGAGCAGGTGTGTGGGGAGGAAGGGGTGCAGTCTTGAGCTCCAGGAGTTGGACCGGAACTTTGATTTTGTTTCTAGAATTGTGACTGTGGCGATGTCAGCTACAGGCGCAAACACAACATCTCCAGCACATGGTGGCAAACAGGCTGACTGCCAGGAACTATCCCAGCTAGAGAGAAATGCCCAGCGGTTGCTAGCTGGGTTTTCAGAAAAGGCTGACCTAGTAGGCACAGCAGGCTTGTCTCCACTAAGTGTCCACCATACATAAACTGAAGCAAAGGGATGGAGATTGAATCCAGGCATGGTAGGTCAAGGGATTGATTCCAGCTCCTAGAAAGGTGGAGGCAGCAGAATCCAGATATCAAGGGCATCCCTCTGCTAGGAGATTCAATAAATTAATTATGTGGAGCCATACTCCTGGAATCGAGTTGTGGAGAGGGAGGAGGGATGAGCAAAGGAGCCAAGAGCTGACCTGACCTAGTGAGAGTATGGAGACCCTAGTCATAAAGCTGGGGAACCAGTATTGAACTGAACCAAGCCCTCTAAATGTGGGTGCCAGCTAGAAGGCCTGGGCAGGCTATGGGACCTGTAACAGTGGAGCCAGTGTTTATCCCTAGTGAACAAATAACTTTGGGTGCCCATTCCCTATGGGGGGATACTATTGCAGCCCAGATACCGGAAAGAGGGCCTGGGCCTTCCCCTAAATGATGTGATGGACTTTGATTGTCCCCTTAGAGAGCCTCATTATCCTTGGGGAGTGGGTGGGGGTGTGTTGGGGGAGGCCGGGGGGGTGGCATGGAAGGGTGGGAGGGTAAGGGAATGGGGAATTGATATGTAAAAGATGTTTCTAAAATTAAAATAATAATAATGAAAATTACATGGGTCTGTGCATGTGACTGAGTTGGAAAGTGCTGACTCATCACTCAGGGAGCCAGGAGCTACAGGTGTGAGCTCTGGTTTAAGTACAGACAAAATTAGGGTGGGGCACGGGCATTCTTAATTAATCAGTCCTGGTTGGAGTGTGTCTGCTTGGTCAGTCTCAGCCTTGGTTGTGTGATGTGGTCACAGGCCCTCATTACTGTCACTCTTGAAGGGATCAAATCTGGCTAGTTGAGGCTGCTCCAGGGTGCAGCCTCAACCTCGTGACAGGTATGGTCCTCATCTGCTGTGTGTTTGGGGTGGGGCTTCTGTCCCAGGAGAGGTTTTGTTCTTCCTGGGTTCCAAGGTGACTGCAAGTTTAGGGCAGAGATTTACACTGATGCCCTGAGCCAAAGAATATGGGACAGATAACAAAATGAAACAGAGAAGGCAGCCAGCCCCCTTTTCTTCGTTTATATACCTGTGCCCTCCACAAAGGCAGCTCCCATTGGCTGGTTTTACTGTTAATACTTACATTTGTTTGTTTTGAGAGAGGGTCTCACTGTGTAGCTCTATATGGTCTGGAGCCTTGAAGTCAGAGATCCTTCTGTCTCTGCCTCCAGAGGGCTGGGGTTAAAGGTACGGGCCACCATGCCTGGCTTTAGCATTTATGTCCCATCCCCAGCCCAAGATAAGGTTTCCCTCTGTGGCCCTGGAGCTCCTGGAACCCTGAAATGTTCCTGCTTCTGCTGGAATTAAAGGCGTGTAGCACTTACATTTCTTAGGGGGAGTAGGGAGGTGGCCCCATTAGTAAAGTGCTTGCCTAGCCCCATGTACCTATGCAAGAAGCCCATGGTTTGGACTGATATACTACTACTGTTTGGATAGTTAGTAGATAAACAGATCGGAACACAAAGATGGTTAGTTTTGGCAAAATGGGTGTCTGATCATCTTAAGGTTTCTGTTGCTGTGATAAACACCATGACCAAAAGCAACTTGTGGAAGAAAGGGTTTATTTGGCTTATGCTTCCATATCACAATTCATCATCAAAGGAAGTCAGAACAGGAACTTGGGCAGGGCAGGAACCTGGAGGGAGGAGATGATGCAGAGGCCAGGGAGGATTACTGCTAACTGACCTCCTCATGGTTTGCTCAGCCCCCTTTCTTACAGAATCCAGAACTGCCTGTCCAGGGATGGCACCCACAATGGGCTGTACCCTCCTACATCAGTCACTAATTAAGAAAATGTCTTACAACCGGATCATAGGGAGGCATTTTCTCAATTGAGGCCCCCTCCTTTTTTGAAGATGCTAGCTTGTGTTCGGTTGACATAAAACTAGCCAGCACACTGATGAGTTGCCTTAGCTGGATTAAAAAGGAACCCTGAAGTGGTGGTGGGGGGAGCAGAAGGGAGCTGCTGGAGCCAGCTCCTGCTGGATTTAACCTCTGAGGCTAAAGCAGTGTACCTGCATTCTGCATTAGTACTTCTGTTTGAGTAGGATGTCCTCCCCCAGGCCATCACCTGTTACAGTAGGAGAGTTTGTCAAAAGATCTGAACTGAATACACACCTTTAAGCCCAGAAATTGGAGGCAGAAGTAGGTGGATCTCTGTGAATTTGAGGCCAGTGTGGTCGACATAGTGGGTTCCAGGACAACCGGAGCTACATAGTGAAACTTTGTCTCCAAAAAGAAAACCAAACCAAACCAAAATGGAAATAATAACAAAGGAAAGCAGCAGGAAAACATGGGCTGGGGACATAATTCAGTCTGTGAAGTGTTTACTTAGCTGGCTTGAGGCTCTTGAGTTCGATTCCCATCAGGACTCCTGTGATTCCAGCCCTCTGATTTCAGCACTTAGGAGGTGGAAGCCTGAGGTCAGGGAGTTACAGGGAGGGATGGTATTTAATCAGGGCTCTGCCATGTCTTGTTTATTGCCAGTCTACCCCAGGGCTCTGTTCTTCCTACAGCCTTGGTTGGAGGGACTGGTACACAAATGGGCTGTGGGGCCAAGTGGGTAGGGGAGCTAGGGCTCAGTATTCCAAGCTTGGAAATGACAGGCTGGGATATGTGATGTCACTCTGAGTTTAACGGGAACCAGGTACTCAGTGGGTAGGACCTGGGACCATCTAAAGTAACTTATTATTTTTTTTTTTAAGAAATTTCTTCTGACTCAAACCAACTGAGTTGCCAGAGTCCAGAAGAGTCGCTGTCCATTTGAGCTGTACCTGGTTGTGTGTCCATTTGTAAGTACCTTTATGGCAGCTGGAATTAGAGTCTAAAAAACACAAAGAACTCAAGGCTTCTACCACTATAGGCAACCCAGGAGACATCAGTGGGGAGACAGCTGTTTTGAGGAGAGACCCTGAAAATTGCAGGACAAGTGAGTCTGTTTGTCTCTGCCGAGTACCCCAAAGCCAACTTTTCAAAAGAAAGCCTACCCAGATCCAGTCCTTCATCCCCAGCCTGATGTCTTGGGTATTGGACTTTGCCAGCCTCCAGAGAGAGTTCCAATGCTACATTTGTCAGTCCAACCTGAAGATTCCAGTCACTACAGAATGCGGGCACAACTTTTGTTTATCCTGCCTCCGAACCTATACAAATATGCAACCCAAGTTCTCCTGTCCTATCTGTCAATACCAATGCCAAGTGGTAAACCTCACAACCAATACACAGCTGAAAGAGATGGTTGAAGTGGCCCAGCGGCTCCACAGACAGGCAATGGAAATAAAGAGTCAGAATCCCAGCTGTGCTCACCAGGTCTTGACTCACTTCTGTGAAGACGACCTGCAGCTGCTGTGCCTCCAGTGCACCAGGTCTGAGAACCACAACGGCCATCAGGTGACACCCATTGTACAGGCTGCCTCTCATCACAGGCAAAGGTTTCAAGACATCATCCAGTCTCTGAAGATGCAAATAAAAGACGTTGAAGGGTTAAAAAACATTCAAAACGAAAGAATCCAGACCTTCAGGGAGAAGGCAGAAGCCCGGAGGCAAGAACTGACCTCTGAATTGGAGCAGCTCAACCAACTTTTGCTTTGGGATCAGCAGGCAGCTTTCTCCAGGTTAAAGGATGAGGAGCAGGATGTCAAGCAAAGACTGAGGGAAAACATAGTGGTGTTTGAAAACTATATTTCCAAACTCAGAGGTTTCATGAGCCACGTGGTGACCGGCAGAGCACAATCGGATTCAGAATTGCTGTCAACAGTCAAGGATTTCTACAAGCACTTTCAGAGTCTAAGGAACCCAGCCATTTTCCCAGCTCAGTTAAGAAGAGAAACATACAACTTTCCTCTCCTGTGTTCAGCTCTACAAAAAGTTATACAGCAATTTACAGTTAACGTAACTCTAGACCCAGAATCTGCCCATCCCCAACTGCTTGTTTCTGAGGATAAAAAGTGTGTCTCATTGTTAAAGAAAAAGCAACACACTCCTCATTCTTTGAAAAGGTTTACCAACAGCCCTGTTGTGTTGGGGTGTCCAAATTTTAATTCTGGGAGACATTTCTGGGAGGTGAAGGTAGGAGAGAAGCCTGAATGGGCTATTGGTGTCTGCAAAGCCAATCTGTCCACTGAGGCAAGGTGGTCCTCTGTCCCTCGGGGATGCTGGAGGATTGTCTGGCAGGGTGACTGCTTTGATGTCTCAGGAGCTGATTCAAACTTTCAGCAGGCCACAAGAGCCAAACGCATTGGCATTTTCCTGGACTATGAGCTGGGAGAGGTTTCCTTCTATAGCATGCCCGAGAAATCTCACATCTGTACTTTCAGGGACAACTTTACTGGGCCTGTTTGCCCTTACTTCTACCTAGGACTTCATTCAGAACCTCTTACACTCTGTTCTGTCACAGATTTCACAGGGTGGCCTTAACTCTAACAGGTTTGTTCAAATTCGATTCACCCTTGTCCCCAAACTAGGTTGGCCTCAAGGTTGTTAAATAGCTGGGGACAACTTTGAATTTGTGTTCCTTTAAACCACACCTTCTTCTTGCTAGGATTATGTGTGTGAGAATCTGTACCCAACATTCTTTTTTCATTTTTGAGGCAAGTTCTTATATATAACTCTGATTGGTCTGGAACTTGCTATGCTGACAAGGCTGGCCACTGTCAGCCATCCTATCTCAGTTTCCTGTACTCTGGGTTTACAAGCATAGATCAACACATCAGGTAACAGATGCATTTTTAAGCTTCTTAGTCTCACATCTGTAAAAAGTTTCGCTACTAAACCCCATGCCTAGCAAATGATGTACCATTGAGCTATGTACTTGAACCTTTTCATCCTTGAGACAGTCTTGGTGAGTCAACCAGCCTAGCCTTAACTAATTCTGCAGCCCCTCCTGGCTCAGCACTCCCAGGTGGCTAGCATTACCAGCCCAACCCACCTCAGAAAGTGATAGTTTTAAGAATGTATTTATTTTATATCCGAGAGGGTCTTACGTAGTCTAGGCTAGCCTCAAACTTGATACATAGTAGAGGCTGACCTTGAATTCCTTATTATCTACCCTCAGTCTCACAAATGTCCAGCCTTTGAAATTTGTACTTACAGATACCTTAGTTTCCTTATAATCTCAGAAACACCTAAAATATTAATAAAGAGTACCCTCCCTTTCTATACCTCCCTCCTTCTCCCCCCTTCCTTCTCCCCTCCCCCTCTCTCTTCTATATCCAGTACTAGGGATTGGGTTCAGGACCTTACACATGCTATGAAAGTTCTGTGTACTGAGCTAACATCAGCCCTGTTTGATTTTGATGTAGTCTTGTTAAGTTGTCCAGGCTAACCCTGAATTTGTGATTCACCCCCCCCCCAAGTAGCTGGGATAGCTGGCAAATGCCTTTATGCCTTGATACATTTTGTGTATATTTTTAAATAAATTTTTAAAAATTAGTGTGTGTGTGTGTGTATAAGACAGACAGGCAGACTGACACGCTATGGTTGAAGATGTGAAGGTCAAGAGACACCTCTTTCATCATATGTCCCAGGACTGCATTTAGCATTTAAATAATCAGGTTTGCATAGAGGAAGCAACAAGGGAGAGGAAGGGACTATAACTACTAAGTTACAGCTGAAGCAAAGGAAAAATGCCCTTGTTTTACTGCAAAGTGGGGTGACTATAGGCAATGATAATCCACTTTATATTTCAAAAAGCTGCAGGAAAGCATTGGGGTGTTGTCACCTGAAAGGGAGACAAACATTTGAAAAGGTAGTTGTAACCTGATAGTTAAATAAATGTACACATGTTGAGGTGTAACAAGGTTCCCATTAATGTACTGTTTTATCCATTAAAATTAATTTTAATAAAAGAAACATGATTCTATATGTAAAAGATTGTTCCTCAGGGTTTGGAGTTACCACTCTTGCCTTCTCACACTTTTTCACTTAATCTTTTTAAGATTCATTTATTTTATGTATATGAGTGCTCGATCTGCATGTACACCTTTGCGCCAGAAGAGGGCATCAAATCCCACTATAGATGGTGGTGAGCCACGCTGTGGTTGCTGGGAATTGAACTCAGGACCTCTGGAAGAGTAGGCTAGTGCTCTTAACTGCTGAGCCAACTTTCCAGCCCCCTTCACTTAACTCTTAAATATCCAGCTGGCTCATGGATGTCTTTCTGCACTTAGGAGGCAGAAGCAGGAAAATCTGTGGCTTTTCTCACTTCCTGCTTCTACCTCCCAAGTGCTGGGATGACAGGCAGGTGCTACCATTCCCAGCTGTATGCACTGCGAAGGACAGAACCCAGGGCCTCATGTACACTAGGCAAGCAGCCTACTAACAGAGCTGTTTCTCAGGTCCAGAAGTGAACTTCCTGTGCATGCTCTGAGTCTGTCTCTTAAAGAGGTAGAGCGGATCAGCATTAAATCCTGAACCTTTCACTTCCATTCATTAAAATTACACTTATTATGTTTATGGGCACCTGTGCCATGACAGTCAAGTGAAGGACACAGGACAACTTGCTGGAGTTAGTTCTCTTCCTAAACCTTGGGGGTTCCAGGGATTTAACTTTAACTCTAGTTCCAGGGAATCAGATGCCCTCTTCTGGCCTCTGTAGGTATTAGGCATACCCAGGTGCACACACATATATAATATGCAGGCAAAACACTCATACACATAAAAATAATTTAAAAGATGTCTACTCTTCCTCATTCAATAAAGGACCCCAGAGTATTCCCAATGATGTCATTAGTAGCAACACTCATGTACACTGGTGTTTTAGTCTGGATCTGCTCTTTGCCCCAAAGGCCCTAGCAGTAATGGCTTTGTCTCCAGCTTGGTATTGTCAAGAGGTGTAGAACCTTTATATGGGCAGAGGCGAATAAGTCATTTTTTTTTTTTTTGTTGGCATACAACAGTGTCTTTTGTTGTTCCACGTTATCCTCTGACTATATAGTTGAGGATGATCCAAATTCTCAATTCTCCACACACTGACATTACAGGTCTGGGCCACAAGGCTGGGCTAGCATTTAGTTAGGACTTTTGTTTCCGAGACAGGGTCTCTCTCAGATCCACAGCAGTTCTGCTTCAGCTTCCTGGATGCTGCAATTACCGAAATGAGCCACTGTGCCATGCCCAGCTCCCTGGGAGTTTCTCTTTGGTTACAAAAGACTTCTTTTGATTTTCCTGTATGTGGGCATGTCTGTGTTTAGGTATCTACAAGTGCCAGGCCATAAGAGGGTGCGAGATCCCCTGGAGGAGGTACAGCAGGCAGTTGTGAACCACCTGACATGCCTGCTGGGGACTGCTACAACCTAGAGGGTGAGCATGCACCCGCATTCGGAGGAGGCTGTGGTTTTGGCCAATGGCTGATTTTGTGGTACTGGGGTAGAATCCAAGTTTGAGGTTGAATACTCTAGGCAAACACTATGCCCGAGAGCTGTAGACCCACAACACTAAGGCTGTAGGTGGTTCTTAGTATTGAGATGGGGTGGCGTGTAGCCCAGCTGACTTTGAATCCTTTGTGTAAATCCAAATAGCCCTGAGTCTGATCCTCCTGCCTTCACTTCCCAAGTCCTAGGATTATAGGCATGATGAGACAGTGCTCCGGGATTTATGGCTGCAGTTTTAGAGGGGCTTCCTCATTAAGTGACTCAAAGGAAATAAAGAATATGTGAGAAGGGGAAACAGGTGCAAAGGCCCTGAGGTGATAATGTGCTTGGCAGTCCATACCACAGAAGCATGGTTATAGCAGTGCCAACAGAGAACCAGGAGAAATGGCCAGGTAGGGAAAGGGAGTTTATTTCCTAAGGACTTTCACTGCCAGGCCTTGGGATTTGAGAAGGAATCATGTGTACATGACCTAATGTGTGGTTTAGATCTCTGGGGCTGGACAGATGGCTCAGTAGTTAAAAGGTCCTGGATGCCTTTCTAGAGGATCCAGGTTCGATTCCTTGCAACACCATGTTGATCCAACCCTCAATAACTCCAGATCCAGTGTATTACAAGCACTCTCTGGGATCCTCAGGCAGCAGATATGGACATGGAGCATAGACATACATGCAGGCAAAACACCCATACATGTAACATAAGCAATCATTTACAAATAATAAAGCTCTCTGACCATCGAGTTAAAACATAAATGTTTGGAGAGTAGAGAGCTGAGGTGATCAGAATCAGATGACCTGGGGCCGGAGTGACAGAGGCCCCACCAGTGATGGAGGCTTCTCCAAAGGGCCTGGGTTTTATCCCCAGCACTCACTTGATGGCTCATGGCCACCTGTAATTCCAGTTCCAGGTGATCTGCTGCTCTCTTCTGCTCTCCATGGGCACCAGGCACACACACCACACAGGTATATAAGTAAGCAAAAAGTTTATATACAGTGAAATTAAAAACATATTTAAAAGAAGAATAAAATTTAATAAAAATATATTTTAAGCAATTTTATTCTGTGCAGGTGCACTAAATTAAACAATTGTATTAAAGTCATTAAATTAAAAATAAGCATGTTAAAGATTTACCAAAAAAAACCCAAAAAACAAAAAACAAAGAGTAAAGGGTCTGGAGATGAAGCTCAGATGGTAGCATGCACACAGCACTGAGCTCCATTCCTGTTCCAATGATGGGGATGCCTGTAATCCCAGTACTTGGGAGGTGGAGGTAGAAGGGTCAGAAGTTCAAGGTCATTCTTGGGTACACAGGGAGTTTGAGGCCAGCCTGGGCTACCTGAGACCTTGCCTCAAGAAACAATAACTATCAAGATTATCCCAGGAGAAGGATTTGAACAAAGGATTTGGGGTGCATGGCACAAGAGAGGTACCACAGATCTGGGATAGGCAACAGTTTCTTTCATAGTCAAAAGAAATGGCAACCTGGGTATGGGAACTGAACTCTTGTCTCCCATACACACACCGAACCACTGAGCCATCTTTCTAGCCTCTGAAAACTTTAAGTACAATGTGGCTTCAATGTATGAATGTCAGTATTACTTCTTAGAGACTCAATCATATTACCAGCAGAAGACATGTACACATTTATCTTGGGGGAGGAAAACTTTTAGAATGCCCCAGCAATGGCTGTATCCAAGGAAACAGGAATTTACTGTCCACAAGCAAGAGTCTGTGGATGGAAAGACCAGTCCTTGCCTGTCAGGGTGTGTCCATCATATCCCTATATAATTATGTTTGGCTCTTCAGCTAATTAAACTTATTTATTAAAGTAGAACAGAGAAATATATGGCAACTCCTTGAAGAAGGGCAGAAATAAAGTGAAAGTGACAGATTATTTCTAAATCTCTCAGCACTTGCCAATGGAAGGTCAACTATGTAACAGGTGCCACCACTTCACCACATAGTCTCCCGTTGCCCCAGGAATTGTTTGCATTTTATTTCTCAGAACTAGCACAGCATATGCCCTGATTCGATCAGTCCTACAATGAGGAAACTTCTGTGTTTCTGGAGCAAGGTCTCCTTCTATGGACTGGGCAATGAGCTGGCCTCAAGCTAGTGGTCATCCTCCTTCCTCAGCTTTTGGGGCACTGGGGTTACAGGTGTGAGTCACCATGACTGGCTGAAGGAAAGTCTGTATCAAAGCTGACTCGGTGGCAGTGTTGGCTTATTATGTGTGAGGCATTTGGGTTTATCCCCAGCACTGGAAAACAAACAAGCAAACAAACAAACAAGACCCAAATGATTTGACCGTTTCTCTCATCCAATGAGCCCACACCCATATCAAATGCCTGTGAGACTCTTCCGAAGCAAACATCGAGTACAAGAAGGCCTCTCAGCAGTCTCACTGTGGCAAGAACAGATGGGTTTCAAAACCCCGTTTACAGCCAGCAGACTGTCACAGTCACACTTGCTTTACAAAGAGCCAGATTATTCCAGGGTTCTTAAACGATAGCTTGCATTCCAGAAAAGTCAAGAAATTAAACTGTTTCAAACTATATAAAACCTTCTCAAGTTTTCCAGCCTTCTATAGTCACCCAGGGGCTCATGTTGCCAGCACACACTGTGAATGTGGCTGTAGCGAAGGCTGTGGTTCCCGCAGCAGGAAGCCGGTGGATGGGCAGTCTGGAGTAACTGTGGACTCAGTAGCTGTCATGTCCTGGCTGGCTGACAGGCCAGGTCCAACAACCGCTTACTCAACAGGGCGTTGTGCCGCTTTAGGTATGCTATGATGTCTCCTTGCTTTTCAACAATTTCTTCTAGGCTTGACATAGTCCTGCAGAAACCAGGATGCAAACAGGTTACACTCAGTCACCGACATTCTTTGGTGTCATTTCAAATGAGTCCTCAGGAGTATTCAGTAAGGCACCCTGTGCCCAGTGTTTTCTCTGGGGTTCTATACAACAGGGATACTCTGAGACCAGTCCTTCATGAATGAACTTAGTGACTTCCACTTGGGAAATCAACCATGTTGCCTTTTTTTTTTTTAAATCAATTTTTAGGCTTTTGGTTTTTTGCCCAGAAAAGTTGTTAAAGTTTTTATAATTTAAACTGGGTGGTGGTGGTGCATGCCTTTAATCCCAGCACTTGGGAGGCAGAGGCAGGGGGATATCTGTGAGTTTGAAGCCAGAATGGTCTACAGAGCAAATTCCAGGACAGCAAGGGCTATTCAAAGAAACATTTTCTTGAAAACCAAAAAAAAAAAAAAAAAAAAAAAAGTTTTTACAATTTAAAGTCAACACATGAGCCAGGCGATGGTGACACAGCCTTTAATTCTAGTTCTCAGAAGCAGTCAGATCTCTGAGTTCCTTGACAGAGAAACATTGTCTCGAAAAATCAAAAAAACAAATAAGAGAGAGAGAGGAAGGGAGGGAGGGAGGGAGAGAGAGAGAGAAAGAGAGAGAGAGAGAAGGAAGGGATGGAGAGGGAAGGAGGGAGGGAGGGAGCAAGCTACCAGGGATGAACCCTGAGACACATACATAAGTTCTCTGACTACATTCCCAGCCTTTATAAAAAGGTACTAAAAATTATTTTGGGTCAAGATTTTGCTAAATTGTCCTGGATAGGGGTCCACCCTGCCTACTTGGAGGCATCCCAAGTAGACAGAATCACAGGCACATACCATCAGACACCTGAAGGGAAAAAGTTCCCTCTTTCTGATTTTTTTACTGTCAATTCAAGCCTTACCTGAAGCCGGTCTCTGAGGCAATATTCCTGGGGTGAGCATAATTTTTTTCTTCTTCAAGTACATCAGGCTGAGGTTTGGCTCGATTGAATCTCCTAATTCTCACTGAAATAATAAAATCATTTTTAATCAGATTACCTATTTCTGAAGAAACTCTTATATTCATTTATTCAAGTTATACTAGTTAGTAACTCTTTTTGCACAGATAATATATATTCGATCGAGTAGTGAGTAAACAGTTTGAATATAATTGCTTATTAAAGTCTACGAAGCAAGGACTAGTCACAGCAAATGTCAAGATTATCATTAGTAACAAAATAACAATAATAACAATAGCTGACATTTACAACACACATTACAACAGCATATCTCGAATGACATAGATGGATGACCTCCTTCCATTCTCATGACCACACCATTAAGTGAGCACTCATTTTTTATTCTTGAGACAGGGTCTCACTATGTAGACCAGCTGGCCTGAAACTCAAGGGACCCATGTGGGTCTGCCCTCCACCTATTGGGATTAAATGTGTGTGCCTCAGGCCTGGCCTTTGTTTTTAATTTAGATGCCAAATTTACTTGCAGGGTATAGCTTACTGACTTGGCTATAATCCCAGAGCTTGGAAGGCAGAGGCATGGAGATGGCTATAAATTCAGAGTCATTCTGATTGCTTTATAGCAGTAGTTTTTAAACTGTGGGTGATGACCCCCTGGGAGGTTGAATGACTCTTCCACAGAGGTCACGTATCAGATATCCTACATATCAGATATTTACCTTACAATTCATAACAGTAGCAAAATTACAGTTATAAAGTAGCAAGGAAAATGATTTTATGGTTGGGGTCAGCATAAGGAACTGTGTTAAAGGGCCACAGTATTGGGAAAGTTGAGAACCACTCTCATAGGAAACAAGCTTGTGTAAGTGTGTGTGTAAGTAAGTTGGTGTGTAAGGGTACGTACGTGCCTGTGCTTTCAGCATGCCAGAGGCCCTGGATCCCCTGGTGTGTAGTTACTGGCAGTTGTGAGCCACCTGACATGATTAAGGGCAGTAAGTACTCTTAACTGACGAGCCAGCTCTCCAACTCTAAGGTCCCCCAAATCTATGAATGACACAGCTGTAGAGAATTGACTCACTGGTAGTGGTCGTCTCTTCTGTTACTCTGAAAGGAGAGAAGCCTGGAGGTGGTCAACAGTGAAAGAGGGGGCTAAAGGAGTCCTCAGCTAAGGGGAGGGCAGCTTTCCCCTAAAGTAACAGGCTATGCTTCCCAGTGAGCAGGAGAGAGGCAGGCAGAGGTCACAAGACAGAGGCTTCCACTCTCACCTGCATACAGCATCAGACAGCTCAGGGAGCAGATCAGCTCCAGGGCCAGGACGGCCAGAATCAGCTCCAGGTACAGCTTGCTGGGCTCAGGGAAAGAATGCTGCACACAGAAGAGGAGGAGGAGTGCTGTGTTGCCTGAGGAGGAAGGGAAACAGACAGTGATAGGATGCTGGTGGTCTTCAGTCAGCACAAAGTTCCTTTGGTTTGCTGTCCAGAACATGATCTATCTATCTACCATCTATCTATCTATCTATCTATCTACCCACCTACCTACCTACCTACCTACCTATCATCTATCTATTATCTATCATCTGTCTGTCTGTCCAATTTCCTTAAGCCCTTGTGATTTCCTAAATGAGAAAATTGTGTTGTTATATATAACACACTCTTGAGGTCAAGACAGTGTTTATGCTATTAAGGGTGGGCTCTGCATAGCCTGCGAATGGGCCCAGTCACCAGAAGGATAAGCAATCAGAGGGCTGGAACCTCTACCCCACTGCCCCCATTTGGGAAAGCTCAATAGGTTAGAAATCTAAATTCTTTAAAAAAAAATATGGAAGGCTGGCCCATATAGAATGCTTCCCCAGCATGGATAACAACCTGAGTTCAATCCTAGAACCACATAAAATCAAGGATCAAGCCTGTAACCCTGGAATTCAAAAGGTAGATGCAAGAGCATGAATCCTACATAGCAAGTTTGAGACCATCCTACACGAGACCTCATTTTCAAAAACCAAGGAGTTAAAAGATTTAGCTCAGTAGCAGGACATTTGACTGGGAAGTTTGAAGCCTTGGGTCTGACTCCTAGCACCAAAAACAAAAAACAGAAAAAAACAAGAAACAACAAAACCCCACCAAAGAATCTGATGTTGTAGAATCATCTTTTTGTACACTGATTAGTTTCATAAAAAGCTGAACGTCCAATAGCTAAACAGGATTTCCAGGCACAAAGGGCACTGAGAGAAAGGGTAGAGACACCAGGGACACACAGCAAGCAGCATAAGCATTACAAAGTAAAGGTAACCAACCAAGTCACGTAAAAGAACATAGATTAAAAGACCTGGGGTAATTTAAGTGATAAGAGCTAGTTAGAAACAAGCCTAAGCTATCAGCCAAGCTTTCATAATTAGTAATAAGTCTCCAAGTCGTGATTTGGGAGGTAGGTGGCCAGGCAGTAAAGACTTGCTACAATCTGACTTTATTTTAAAACTAAGGAATGAATTACTGGTTTTATAGAAGTATTAAACTGACTTCTTTAGGTTCTTCTGCACATGTGAAAAAAATACTATTTACTGAGATAGGGTCTCAACACAGTGTAGGCTGACTTTGAATTCATCAACCATTCTCTGGCCTCAGCCTCCTGAAGGCCCACGTTGCATCATACCTAGCTTAAAGTCAGATTTTAAAAAGGTAAAGACCAAATACTTTCTTCATGAATTTCAAAACTCTTATTTCTAGATTTTGAAACAAACATTTCTAGATCCTTACTTGAGAGTATTCTTTCCTCTTGTTCCATACTTACATGAGAAATAGTTCAAAAGTTTCTGATTTATTTTGGTGTTATGGTGACATCTTCTGGCGGTATGTGGCTACACATCAGTTAGAACTCAGTCATCCCCAGGAAAATAACCTCCATGCACTGGCCCAGACTCAGTCAAGGTGACCCATTTTACAGTGTGCCCTCTCCACTGAAGTGTATTCCCTGAGCCTCCACTAAGACCTCTAGTGAATGAATGAGCTTGGAGCTTACCCTTTGCAACAGTTCTCAATCTGTGGGTCAAGAACCCTTCGGCAAACCTCTATCTCCAAAAACATTCATATTGCCATTCATAACAGTAGTAAAATTACAGTTACGAAGTAGCAACAAAAATAATTTCATGGTTGGGGGGTCACCACAACATGAGAAACTGTATTAAAGGGTCCCAGCTTTAGGAAGCTTGAGAACCACTGCTTAGGGTAATACACTAATAGAATATAGAAGAAAAATTCATTTTTTTTAAAAAAGATAAGGTCTCATGTAGCCCATGCTGGCTACAGACTTGCTATAAACACCAGGTTGGCCTTGAACTCCAGGTCCTCCTGCCTTCACCACCTTTTCTAACCCTCAGAAATAAATATAAAACAGCAGCAGCATCCCCTTCCCTGAGCAAGTTAGCCGGCTGATACCAAAAAGGTGGGAAATTCTACATGTGAAAGGGGATACACTGGCCTCACAACCACAGCAAATGGAAAATTAAGGCTCTAATGCCTGGCATGGTGGCACGAAACTTGTAATCCTAGCACTTACTTGAGAAGCGGAGACAGAAGGATTGTCATTAGTTGGAGGATAGCCTGACTGAAAAAAGAGTTTTAGGAGTGCCAGCCTTCAAGACACAGTGAGATGCTATCTCAAAACAGCATAGACTGTAAGAAAAGCTTCAGGAGGTGGATGGGACACAGCTCATTGGTAGAGTCTTATCTAGCATACCCAAAGCTTTGAGTTCAATCTCTCTTTCTCTCTTCCCACCAAAAGAAAAACTCAGGGACTGGAAGACACACACACACACACACACACACACACACACACACACACACACGCAAGCACGCATCAG